GCGATATGGAGTCATGCTTTAAAGGTGTCTGACTTTGCGAAATGTTCTGCACATGGCAATAATATAACGTTTCTGTCACGTACCGGATCTTCGTAGCTATCGCAGTATCTGTCAGATAATCTGTACTTTCGTTGCCTCGAACATACACATGGCTGCACATACAATGAAGATCAGGTCAGTAATTTGTGATGCGCTTAGCAATACAATTAGAAAGATACCCATTGTAAGGGTTTTATCCATTGGGTGAACTGTGAGCTCAAGCCTGGCTGCACGAGACACAGTTTGAAGAAAGCCTGAAGGCAACAAAGATAAAACGCTTGCTGACAGTCATGGGACATAAGAAGCGTTGTGGAAGAATATCTTGGGCTAGGAAACTGATCGCTAAGAAAAAATACCTGGGAAATAGGAAACTAACGTGAAGGAAATGTACCTGGGACATAGAAAACTAGTTGTCAAATATAAAGTATCAAGGAGTTGTAAAATAATCGCGGAGCAAAGATATCTTCTTAAAGGGTGATTCTTTAGTCTAACAATTTTCAGTGTTTACTTTTGGTTCATTCTTTACGAGATCTAGTCTCCAAGGACATTCTTATTGACTTTGCGTTAGCCGTTTGTGATATGACAATGCAGTTTTACGTTGAGTAATTTGCCATTATTTACAAGGTGGAAATGAAACACCAGAGAAAATCTACAACGTGCAATGTTTTTTTTTTCCTTTTTGTTTCTTCTAAAAAGCTAAATCAGACAATGCGTGCCAGCAGAAGTTGGATATACCGGCATAAACGCGCAAATATTGCATTTACTGCAATATCTCTGGATTGTTCCGCAACTTATTGTTTCTTCACCATTTTTAAAGATACGGCATTGAGGGACATATATTTGATTTTTCACTGGCACAGGAAAGGATCAAGTATGGGGAAACCCGATTGCAGTGAGGTTGAAACGTCGACTAAGACTATGACATCTTTGAATGAACGCAGATGAAACAGAAGAATGTGTTTCTGGCCGAGGTGACCAGAAGAGCAAGAAGCGGAAGCAAATATCCTCCTTCGATGCCAGAAGCGGTAGAAGAGGAAGTGAAATTGCTTACTGAATTATTAAACTTCAATATGGTTGCTGAAATCAGGACAAAGAAATTTGAGTTGCCGAATTGAATTCAGCTAAATCGAACCAGGTATACTGGAAGTATGAAACATTGTTAATAATCCCTTTAAACGACTCATTAAAGATGAGCACCATAACTTGCCAGCAAACCACCCCATCCTCTCAATGTACAGCAAGGATAACATATAATAATAATAATATTAATAATAATAATAATAATAAAGGCAATTATAGTTTGTTTGTCCAAATTTAGCAGCCTCTAGAATGTCAGTTAACACATTCATACACCTGCTTCCCATCGGAGTCGTAGACAGAGAATATTAAAACAAAACCCGATGGCGACTTAGAAGTTGGGCATTAATATTGTTAATTGTTCATTTTAGAGATGATCTTCATCGCACATCTGACATGACCATAAATAATCCTGTCTCCTCCCGAGTATGTCTCCACGAGTGTTTAGGCTAATTACTTCAATTATATTCTTGCTGATGTAATGCCGGGGTGGCTCACGCAAGATTTCTTTGTCTAGCGACCCCAAATTGAACACCAAGGGTTTGCAGTCTATTCAGTGAAGAACAATTGTCCACGAAACTGAAAGCCTCACAGCGATTAGTCTCCCATATGGCATTGATGATGTCTCTCCTGTCCACACATGGCACATTTCTGATAGTCGCATTGCTAGCCAGTGCGTCTGCTCTCTCATTGCCTTTCATCCAGCATGCCCTGGGACACCCCCCCCCCCCCCAAAAAGTGATGTTGCGAAACTCTGCGTTCTATCTGCGGCTCAAGAACTTCCCACCACCCTACACCATTCCCCTAACCTACATAGTTATTGTGTGATAAATACAGGCAGGAAAGATAGATACAAACAAAAAATGTGATGAAAAAGAGCGCAGAGATGATAAACGGCTGCATACCTAAATGCCTAGGCAAAATAGCCTAATGGAACATCAATACATACTTAATTAGAAACTCTGACGAATATGTTAGATAGAGAAACATGAACGCCTTCGACTGGCATTAAATTGCATGATGCTGATTGTGTGAGAGAGTGTGTGTGAGAGAGAGAGAGAGAGAGAGAGAGAGAGAGAGAGAGAGAGAGAGAGAGAGAGAGAGGGAGGGAAAGAATCTACCTGCAGAAAGTGTTAGAGATATTATCTAGAGTGGCATTAAGCCTAAATTCCCCAGGCTAAGATAGGGAATTAGAAGACTACGTCAACGCGCAATGGACATTAATGGAAATATTTCAAAACCGACATAAAAGATCATTGTATAAGACATAGAGACACAGACAAGATTAGGGACTGATATTATACAGCATTAGCATGAGTCAACATAAGAATGATTATGTCACTGTAGTCTGAGGTCAATTAACGACAAGGTCAGATGTACCTACTAGGACTAAAGTAGAATAAGAATGGGAATAATAATAATAATAATAATAATAATAATAATAATAATAATAATAATAATAATAATAATAATAATAATAAGAAGAAGAAGAAGAAGAAGAAGAAGAAGAAGAAGAAGAAGAAGAAGAAGAAGAAGAAGAAGAAGAAGAAGAAGAAGAAGAAGAAGAAGAAGAAGAAGAAGAAGAAGAAAGAAGAAGAAGAAGAAGAAGAAGAAGAAGCGGAGAAGGAGGAAGAGTAAAGGTGAGGAGAAGAAGAAATGAAGAAGACCTGAAATAACTAGTTAAATAACTCATTCCCTGTCCTGTCACTTTCCAGTTCCTAGCACATCAAAATCGATCACTTCTTTACAACTCTGTGTAAAGAGAAATCGGGCCTGACTTCAAATGTCGCATGTTAAATCACCTTACAGCAAAGTTCAGTAGCCTACCGATAGCGTGAATCACACAACTATTTCTAGCAGCCTACTGACTTAGCTATACCTACACAGAGTAAGTCTGTCAATATTGTATACCACTAATCATTGAGAAAATCAGGAGCATTTGAATCTGCTCCACGGTTTCAAAATTAATATACTCCACTTTACAAACTAAGTGGGTTATAAAACGAAGTACTTCATACTGACAAATAACTACTGTCGTCCCGTATGTGGGATGCAATTTTTTTTGAAGCCCCACCCTGGCTTTTGCCGGGGACACTAAATATTACCTAACGGTTGAACGGGGCTTCCGGGACCTCTCCACAGGTGATCCACATCCGCATTGTGGCACTTTGTGTCACCTGGTATTTATCGCTTGTGTAATGTCCTGGTAGGGTACAAATTACCTACCTACATACTTACTGTCAAATTTTAAGCTTCATTTTAAACATAACTACATTTTTTTTTCAATCAGGTTATTGTTTTGAAAATGTAGACATTTGCACATGTGCTTCTCTATTTGAAATATATGTTTTAATTTTTTAGTTGCTTATAACTGTTACTCAATTATGTATGGAACAACATCAACATGAAGAACAACAGCAGCAACAACAACAACAACAAGATTTAAAAAAGAGAGGACAAAAAAAAAAAAAAAAAAAAAAAGGAAGAAATGGAAAACAAATACATCGTGGTATTCATAAAAAAAAAACCTACAGCTGAATAGAAAAACTGCGTTAAAACATCTCGTAGTGTAGAAGAAATATAACTAACACACGTTTAATAATCTTGCTGAATGTTGAATTAGGAATCGACATCACAGCACTCCGGACCCCACCCCCCCCCCCCCTCCCCTAAACGCGCTGCGTCCCCATCTTCAGCAGCAAGCGAAGAGTTCAACTTCCGATGGTACCAGCAACTGTCTGATAGTATAATCGTCTCGCCCTTCCCCTGAGTTCTGAGCGTCGACCGGATCTCCTGGTGACCCTCTGCAGCGCCATTCTCCCCTGACCGTAATAATCTATTTGTGCCTCCGCACTGTTGACTCACTTAATAATCTAAAACTACTAAACTACGCAAGTAAAGCTATTTAGAAAAGAAAGTTACATACATAACTGCAAGATTTGGAGTAAACTAACTCAAACATATACTTTGTGTTGCGTAAGAGAAACAATAATATAATCAACGATACTAAATGATGTTTAGCAGAACAATACCACTAATACGCTTTTAACGATTTTAGGCCACATAAACAGTTCAGACACCCTCACGTTGTAGGCCAGAAAACAATTCAAATATACATCCACATGCTGTAGACCTAAAGTTAACAAAGCAAACAAACAAAAAATCAGTCCTGCTCCTCATTTTGTAGACTGTAAAACAGTCAGACTTTATATTCCTATGTTATATACTGTAAAACAGTTAACGTTTATACTCCCGTGTTGTAGACTGTAAAACAGTTAAATTTTATACTTCCATGTTGTAGACTGTTAAACAGTTAAAACTTATACTCCCGTGTTGTAGACTGTAAAAGACACACAATTTATACTTCTGTCTTGTAGACAGTAAAACAGCTGCGGTTTATATTCCCATGATGTAGACTGTAAAACAGTTAAAACTTATACTCCCATGGGATAGTCCGTGAAACAGTTAAAATGTATACTCCCATGTTGTAGAATGTAAAACAGTTCACATTTATTCACCCATGTTGTTGACTGTAAAACAGTTAAAATCTATTCTCTCATGTTGTTGACTGTAAAGCCGTTAAAATGTATACTCTCTTGTTGGAGACCAGAATAACAACTAAAAATAACAACACTATATTGCAGAACAGGGAGAAAAATAAACCTAAAGACACAGCCTGAGTTATATGGAGACTAGAAAAACCTTTCAAACATGCAAAACCGCACACATACACACACACACACACACACACACACACACACACAAACACACACACAAACACTCACACACAAAAACAATTCAAAAACACACTCCATGTTGTGGAATATTAAACGGAACCAAAAGAAACTCAGGGAGCAGATCACAAATACGAGCACCTGGCTTACTGACCCCATCCTATAGAATAGAAGAATATGTAGTTCGGCTTCCCAGAGAAAACAGACACGGCAATCATGTTGTGCAGGTAGATTCCTTCGATAAACATCCACATAAACTTCACTGTTTTAGTGTACTCGATTAAACTGTACATCATCTCACAGAAGATTGGCTGCAAATAGAAAGCAATGGAAATATCGATAAAGCAGAGATAACAGTTAGTTGCGATTATTATTAAGAAAATACATTTCACAATGCAAGATTTTCTTTGCAGGCATGCTTTTGTAAATGACTGTCTTCAATGCCTAGGAACACGACGCTGTGTAGGTATGTTAGGGCACTAGGCTACCGCGCCTAGCAGCAATGCCGGAACCTGGGGCTTAGACATATTTAGCTCTCTCATCCCAAGGGGTCTCAGCACCACCCCCTTTTTTACTACGCCCCCCTCCCCGCCTCCCCTTAACCCCCCCTCCCATTGCATAACAGGGTTAAACTCCCTTCCCAAACATGTAAAGAAGTTCTCTCTTTTAAATACATATATATATATATATATATATATATATATATATATATATATATATATATATATATATATTTATACATTGTTTTCTAGTTATGTGCCATTCAGTGTATCATCATCATCATTGTTATTAAACACTTAAATAAGGCTTAGGCCATTTGATCACATCTTCATAAAATGTATAGGAAACCTAAGTGTCCCTTGCTACCCTGTTGTTTGTTTAGGTAGCCCTGACGTCTACACAAACGTACATCTGTTTTGTATGGGACACGTTAACCTAATAACGCCCACGTTAAAGGAATGAGTTAATACATAAGCCATTAATCGCAAAAAACACAAATTATAACTTCAAATGTCATAAACGTCACGTAGAAAAATTTATCTTTAAAAACAACACAATCTTAAATGTTTTTATTTTAAATGAATCATGAGAAAAAAAAAAAAAAAAAAAACACTCATTACAATTTGGAATATTATTTTATCTTTGACAAATATGACATTAGACAGCGATATATTTGTTACTCAGGTCTTCTTGGAGATTTTTATGTCTTAAGCAGACAGCAATTTACTTCAGATTTCCCAGGACATGTGTACTATCATTCACCAGTTTGAAACGGCGTGCTTTTCTCGCAATTTGTTACGTTTAGTTCGCACAGTCTGACACAAAGCCTCTCTTTGACAGAAATTCAGAGAAACCACACGTTTAGTGATCATGTGATCTGTGACGGCCTGTGACGGGCCCTGATCCTTGACCGCACATGTTTCTCTATAGGTCAGCCTGTTCCCTTTTATCAAGGGCATAATTCTCTAAGCACCAGTTTATGTTCAATGGGAGGGGAGGGGGAGGGGGAAGGGATGGAAGAAAGGGGGGGGAGAGGGAAAAAGGGGGGGGGGTTAAACAAGTGGGTGGGGGGGGGGGGTTAAAAAAAATGGGGGGGGGGTTAAAAAAAAAAAACTAAGTCGGTGTAAAAATTGAAAATATTAACATAATTGCTGACTTCGACTGTTCCACAATGTAGGCGTAATACCTGTTAAGTCTTGTCGATAATTCACACACACACAAACACACAGTGTGATCTCAGTTTTATTCACTCAAGGTTTATTTCCCCTGAGCCTTTCATCACAACTGCCGTTTTCAATATCCCTCTCTCTATCTCTCACTCTCTCTCTCACTCTCTCTGTGTCTCACTCTCTCTCACACACACTCTCTTCCTCTATTTCTCTCACTCTTTCTCACTCACTTTATCTCCCTCTTTCTCTCACTCTCTCACACTCTCTCACTCTCTCTGTCTCACTATCTCTCACACTTTCTCTCCTTCTCTCTCTATCTCACTCTCTTTCTCACTCACTCTATTTTCTCTCTCTCTCTCTCTCGCTCCCTCGCTCTCCCACTCTCTCTCTCACACACTCTCTCACACACTCTCTCTCACTCTCTCACTCTCTCTCTCACTCTCTCTATGTCACTCTCTCTCTCACACACTCTCCCTCCCTCACTTTCTCACTCTCTTGTATATGTGTGTATGCATGGATGCATGTATAGGTGTGTAAGTATAGAATGTGTGTGTGTGCATGTATATCCATAAATGTATGTGTGTGTGTGTTTTCTGTTTGTGCCTTTATATCTATGTATGTGTATTTGTTTTATGTTTGTGTATGTATGTAGATGCATGTGTGTATGTATTACGTATGTCTGTATATGAGTCTGCATGTATGAGAACGTAGGAGTATGTATACGTGTGTGTGAGTGTGTACGATTGTGTACACATGATGTGTGTATGCATTATTCTATAATTTATATTTCTTAATTATATCCATAACATGCATTATTGATAACAGGCATTGGTACTCTGAAAAATAAGTGCTTAGAAGAGCTGAATGTCAGACGGGCCTGCCTGCCCAATTTTTAACCCTTTGAAAATAAAGTTTGTTCGTTCGTTCGTTAGTTCTCTTTCTCTCACACTCACTCTCTCTCCCTCTCTCTCTTTTTCGCTCTCTCTCTCTCACTCACTCTCTCACTCACTCTCTCACTCACTCTCTCTAACTCTCTCACACACTCTCTCTCGCTCTCTCACCCTTTCAGAGTGATCTTGGAAGGCATGACTCTTATGACACCAATGAAATTGATTTGAATGGGGAAAAAAAAAAATCATCTGCTGTGTATATTGGAATTCAAGTCTAGCCATTGCACCACCGAGCATGCGGTTAAAATTACACCTGTCGCTTTTACTTCCCAAGACTCAATCCTTGTATCCCCTTTAGGCTTGGTCGACCTGGAAGCTAATTTACCGCCTAGATCTTCTTACAGGCAAGCGTCCTTCCTCCGAATAGAAGAATGAAAAAGAAACTAAACTGGAACGAACATGCGACAGAAGAGAATTATAATCAGACGAAACAGACAGCAACGTTACATTCGTTTCAAAAAATCATTCTAGATAAGATAATCTAGAAGAAAACGAAAAATTATCAGTGTCACTTTGTATAAAAGAAATAAGTGCATCCTAACAAAGAATAAACAACGTAGAACTCGCTTTCTATAAGACGATGCCTGGATAAAAATAGATACGCAGATTTACTAATGTCATCAGCGAAATGTCATGTCCCCTGGGAAATCTCATGAAGAGTAGAAAAAGTAGAAGTTAGGGTTTTCAAATGGTGGATAATCGCGCTGTGATTGGCTTGTCAATCACAATAGACCTGGTGAACGCCGTGGAATTACATGTGTGATTGGTAATAAATTAGGAATGACGGTGTTCCCAAACATTCTCGGGGAAAAAAACAACAATCTGATGCGAAGTTCAGAAACGTTTACCTTGCTGCATATGGCACAGTTTAAACAGAGTGTTACACACATACCCACTCAAAATATAAGCATAAGTTTGTGTGTGTGTGAGCGAATGTGTGTGTGTGTGTGTGTTTGTGTGTTTCTGTTATCATTATTAGTATTCCCACAACCCGCCTATATGCACACTAACTCACTTCTGATTGGTAGTTCATGAACCTGTCACACTGGCACAAGGTTGCGGGGGTGTCACGCGATACCGTTGATATCGCGTGTTGTATATTTCAGCATGCCAACGCTTTTAACACTCAAAAAAAAAAAAAACATGGAGAAACTGGCCCTAATACAACCCTAGAGAGTGTTGCAACCTATGTCACATGCATTCTTTTTCTTGGGATGAAAACGAAAATGCAAGACAACGCAGAGAGCAAACAACAGAACTGGACATACCCGTAACCTTCGTGAAAGTCGACCCGCCCAACAAACTTGTGAATTAAAAGTGACCTACTCTATTTGGGGAGTTAAAGGTTACTTCAGTCTATTATTATTATCAAAGGAGTGCCGCCACTAAGAAGTTAATATGGGATGGAACGGAAGATAAAAAGGGTTGGGGTAAACTTTTTTAAAGTTGGGAGTCAACTGGCTTAGGCTTGGCTAAAGTGCGCAATTATTATTATTATTATTATTATTATTATTATTATTATTATTATTATTATTATTATTATTATTATTATTATTATTATTTCCTCCTACTGATTATGCAGTAAAGCGTGACAGAGAGGAATAATATGTAGTTTCTTGTCCTTTGCTAGTTGCGTAGCTAGTGTAAACGTCATGTTGCATTTGTATAGTATCTCTCCCACCCCGTCCAATTCGTCTGTTTCTTCGTCTGGCTATTGTCTGGTAGCCTGATTGCGCTCTAGCTGCTGGCTTATTTCGATTTTTTGATTTTCTGTGAAATCATGAACCGATTTTGTATAATCGTTTGTAGTCGCGGTTCTTCTCATTGGGAGTTCGTCTCAATTTTAATTTTCCCGCCGCATTGCTAATACATGTATGTCATCTCACAGGTGTAAGGTTGTGTTCATATTTTTCCAATGACTTATTGTATATCCAACTTCTGCTGGCACGCATTGTCTGATTAGCTTTTTAGAAAACTAAAAAAAAAAAAAAAACGATTGCACGTTGTAGATTTTCTCTGGCGTTATATTTCCACCTTGTAAATAATGGCAAATTATTCAACGTAAAACGGCATTGTCATATCACAAACGGCTAACACAAAGTCAATGAGAATGTCCTTGGAGACTAGATCTCGTAAAGAATGAACCAAAAGTAAACACTGAAATTGTTAGACTAAAGAATCACCCTTAAGAAGATATCTTTGCTCCGCGATTATTTTACAACTCCTTAATACTTTATATCTGACAACTAGTTTTCTATGTCCCAGGTGCATTTCCTTCACGTTAGTTTCCTATTTCGCAGGTATTTTTTCTAAGCACATAAGCGTTCCGTCCCATCTTCAGCAACCAGCGCAGAGTTCCAATACCAATGGTGCCTGTAGCACTCTGATTATACATCCATCTTGCCTTTCCTCTGAGCGTACCCCTCTCTCTCCCCATATCTCTCTCTCTCATTCTCTCTCTCTCTCTCTCTCTCTCTCTCTCTCTCTCTCTCTCTCTCTCTCTCTCTCGGCAGATAGTTACAGTTGCACTAAACACTATACGACTTTTACTCCATATACTACAAACAACCATTTTCTGTAATTAATGGCTGCATTTACCACGTCTGTGGTGTGAACAGTCCTTAAGAAAGAAAATTAGAGCGTGTGAACTGACATCCTAAAGAAAGATTATCATAACATGGACAGAGAAGAGAAGAAATATTGACATTTTACCAGATCTGAACGCCAAGGGAGATTGACTATTAAACAGCATCTTGTCTCGGAAGCTGAAATAGTTTGGTTATACCAAGCGCCACGACGAACTGGAAACATAATAATAGCAGATGCATGGTACTAGAAATTAGGGGCAGGGGCATAGGATATAACTGACTCCTTGAATATGAAAGAGCTGGTTAGAGACCCACATTCCTTCAAAAAGACCGTGGTGAGAGCAACTTTCTGCAAGGGACCTACTACATGATGAAGATGATGCGGTGGTTTTTGAGCCTGAAGTTTTAGGACTGTATGGCTATGGCTGTTGCCGCAGACTAATGTGCAGGTTAGGATGTAATTTTTGCCACCGACAGAAAACTATCCCCAACTTCACCGCGGATTCGAACATGGGTCTCTAGCACAAAAGGCCTGCGTTCTTAACGATTCGATCAAACTATTTTCATTCTATAAAAGCAGCATTACAAAAGAAAAGAAGAAGAAGAAGAAGAAAAAGAAACCTACCTTATCATAAATGGCGTTGCTCTCGCCTCTAGCTGCTCCGTACAGCTCTCCACCTGTTTCTCTAGCTACCAGCTGATCTACGTATAGAACAACTCTCATTGCGATTTGAACTATCATGGCCACAAAGAGATTCTTGTGTATGCGAGTCCGATGACATTTGAGGCTTCTGTTGAAAATCAAGGCAATATTTTAATTTGTCAATTAGAAAAAAAAAAAAAATTGTTCGGAAAACATAAAATTATCATTTAAAGTAATGTGAATATATGTTTATAAAGACAGAGAGCACATTAAATGCTAAACAGATGTTTCTTTGTAATAACATAATTATTACAGAAGATTATTATGAAACCATACAGTTGTGATGGCGGACGTCTGCTCCAGATCAGGCAACGGAGAAGATAAAATTAAGAGCGAAAAGAAGAAGGAAAATTAAATAAGAGGAAAAGGAAGGATGAACGAAAGAAAAGGAAGAAGAAGATAAAGAAAGAAGAGGAAGAGGATGAAGGAACTGAGGACCACAAGGGGAAGAGACAAAGTTAGACTGTGTAAGTCAAGATGAAAGAGGTGGATATACTGAAAAAGAAATGAACAGTGTGCATAATAAATAGCATTGTTTTATGTCATTTCTTTCAACGTTACATCAGATACAACCAGTTCCTGGTATATGTCTAAAGTAAATACAAGTCTCTTTAACATACCAGTGACGTATCCTACATATGAATATAGACTAATAGATTTTATAGATCAAACAATTGGTGATGTGGTCGACATCACATCGGCTGCCTTTACTTCCTAGAATTTTACCTAGTACCAGTTTAGGGCTCGGTCGACCTGGAAGCCAAGGTTATGTATGGAAAATATCCGTCTTCGTGCAGATTTGAACTCACGACATTCGGATCTGCAGGCGGGCGTATCTTATGAGGTTGCGAACCTGGGTCTCTGGGAAGAGATCACTGCGTGACTATCCGCAGCCGTTCTTCTCCTAGTATATTCTTTCTTCTGCCTTCTATCCCCCAAAGGAGCATAGGCCTTCAACAAATCCATCCACAACAAATTGTTCTATCCTTAGCGACTGAATGCAGCTCATCCCCATGTTTTTGTCTGTCCTAAATTCTACATCTCTGTGTGTATTCTTTTATAAAGACATTCTAATTATGTTGTTCTCAGGTTTTCTCAACGGGTTTCTTATCCAACGCCAGCGTTTTTTCTTCACCTCTTGGTCCACTGGAACTTGTTTAGTTCTCTCCTAAAGTTCAACATCAGTAATTCCATCGAACCATTCAATTCTCTCTCTTCTGCGAAAGCACCAATGAATGAATGTTTATAGTTTATTAAATAACAGTTTTAGTTGTTCTCCGTGTGTCCGCTCCATACAGCGGCACTGATTTGACAAACAGAAATAAAACCTTTAAGTTTGGGCCATTTAAGCCAAAAAAAGTAGCTGCCAACAGATGCTTGTCTATTTACTAATGGGTATCTATTTGGTCACAATACTTTGAACTGCGTGTTACATAATGAGTTTAACTCAAGCATAACTCAATCTGCTGCAACATTAATGAACTCACTCTTCTTTGAGGAGTTGTTTAATCCAATCGTGACAAACACTTTTTCTTTATACTATCGTTAATTTGTTAAACCTAATTTATTGCACACAAATCTGTTACAGTAATTACAGCTCCCCGTAATACACACAGGCTGCTAGTTACGAATGCACTCTTTTATTTGCTGGGATTATTCTCACAGACTGAAGTTTATGGTGACATTTAAACTGCTCGACTGCCGATAAATTCAATGGAATTGAAATTAATTTCTGCGTTCATAACCAGAGCCGTCGGCTGATGACCCAGAGGAATTGGGTTCAAATCCGTACTGAATTTGATTTGATGTTTTCCTCCAAAATGACGTTGGCTTCCAGATCGACCCAGCTTTTAACTGGTACTAGCTAAAGTCCTGGGAAGTAAAGGCGGTCGGTGTGATGTTGACCACGTTACCTACAGAGTGTTAACTGGCCTGTAGAAAATGAGTCTAGCGTCATGTGCCAGGCTGGACACTGGCGTTAAAAGGGGTCCGTCACTGTATTTTACGCTCTGGTGTCGACCCATATTAACATGAATTACACCTGTGAAACGAACGACGCCAGCAGTAAAACCTACAGACGACTTTCAGGCGGAAGGTAAACGGCTTAACACATTTGCCCTTTAAGCTCATGGACTCACCCCAAGATGCACCAGTTCACTGATCTATACAGTCGCTTACTCATTCCCAATTTTGCATTCGTACAATTTCCACTGCAGAATTGTTTCTACATTAGTGACGAATTTGAGATAGAAACTCTTGAAGTTCTAAATGGTTGTTAGATATGAGTTGTTACGGAACAGACATAAACTCACAAACTGACCTACATATAATTTCTTGTTGCTTTCATTTTGGATGTTTATTTCGAGCTCTTTTTACGGGAATTTCAGCTTCATTTACTATTGTTTTTAGTTCGAAGTTTTATTATTCTAACATTTTCCCTTCCTATGTTAATATTTCCAATGGAATTGTTTGGATATTAAAAAACACATTAGTCACTTTATTTATTGTAGCATTCTGTTATGGTCTGACTGTGAATTTCGGGTGGTTATGCGTATGTATCCCAACAGAGTAGTTAAGCACAATTTTCATGCAACTGGAGGATGCTGCATATGGTGTTGGATAAATACTTTTACACACGTTTAGGTAGCGTGGCCAACATCTCGCCGGCGGCTTTGTCTTACTTGGATATTTCCTTATATGTATTTTAAGACGGGTCCAGCTGGAGCCCCGTGTCAAAAATAATTAAAAAAAAAAAACAACAACCTTATCTGGATGTGTTATCAAACCAAAAAATCTTTGGACATACAGCCACTTCAAAACTGGGACTCTCATTTGCTATCACAAACCACAATTCATATTCCTGGCTTAACGATTATGTTTCTGCAGGACAGATTTTCGTTACGCAACACCTAAATATATATATATATATATATATATATATATATATATATATATATATATATATATATATATATATATATATAGAAACACCACCTAATCATCCATTCACCGCCTCCCTCCCCCTTTTTCCACATTATTTGCCGACAGACATACAAACATAGACAGACCAAGAAACCGACCTGAAGTAACAGAATATCACCAGTGATATGATGGTTGTCACAAGCGAGATGCACAGTCCAGCAATCTCTAGCGTTCGAGAATTTGTAATCAGGTCTCTGACCAACTGTGGAAGTTGAAATACTGATCATAGATACAAGCTGATAATTTAATGAAAGTATCTAAGTAATGCATTCACTGATTCACAGACGTACTGAGCTAATATTGCTCTTGGATTTAAGCTGACTATTCTTCTTCTTCTTCTTCACTTCCTATTTTACCGCTGTGGGTGTCGAGGGAGATATAAGGTTCTGTCTCTAGCTCTTCTGGCCACCTCGACCATAGGCACATCGTGCTGTTGTAGAGTTTCTCTGATGTTATCCTTCCATATTGTTCTTGGTCTACCTCGTGCTCTACGTCCTTCTTCTCTTTCCATGTAAGCTGACTATTAAAAGTATCTAAGTACTCCCTCTATACACTCATTCACATACGTACTCTAATACTAATCATGGATTTCAGCTGATTAATTGAAGTAGGTAGGTAAGGCAATCCCACCAACCCATAGAGTTGGAAAAAAGAAATGGATTCGACCGATATTCTGCAGTTGATGGATGAAAGACAAAAAGAAATAGTAAACAAATGCAAAGTGGCTAAAGAAGCCTGGCTGAATCAAATGTGTACAGAGATTGGTGAAAATCACAGGAAAGACTCACATTCAATGGGCCAACAGATAAATAAGTTAACAGGAAAGATGACACGTAACAGCACTGGATGTTTAAAATCAAAAGATGGTGACTCATTAATGGGACATAGTAATATAATTGGACAGAGTATATAGGGGAATAGTATGATGATAATAGACCAGATGTAGAACTGCAAATCAACAATGGTGGTCCACCAATAATGACTGCAGAAGTTGAGGATGCATTGCATCATAGGAAGAAAGGAAAAGCACTCGGACCAGACAACATCTCACTGGAAGAAATCGAAGCACTGGGAGATTTTGGAACTGAAATAATAACTAAACTTTTAAATGATATTTATAATAGTGGGTATATTCCAAATGACCTTTTAAAATCCACATTTATAGCTCTGAAAAAGAAACCAGGCACTTTAAAATGTGAAGACCATCGCACACAAAGTACTATGAGTCACATGACTAAGATTTTACTGAGAATAATTATGAGAAGAATAAGAAACAAAATTAAACCAGAAATCAGCGATGAACAATGTGGATTTGTAGAAGGAAAAGGTACAAACAATGCCACATACATCCTAAGGACATTTTCAGAAAGCGCTATAGAAGTAAAGACTGATTTGTACTTATGCTTCATAGACTATACAAAAGCATTTGACTGTGTGAAGCATGAAGAAGTAACCAAACTGTTAGTAAAATGAAACATTGATGGAAAAGATCTACGAATAAAAAACAATATGTATTGGCAGCAAACAGTAGCTATAAGAATTACATACTGTTTAGGTACATTTCAAAGCATAAGGAGGTGTTGTACGACAAGGATGTGTACCATCACCTGATTTGTTTTCAATATACAGTGAATATATAATGAGATCTTTAACTGATATGCCCGAAATTGTGGTTGATCGGTACAATATAAACAATTTACGTTATGCTGATGACACAGTCTTGATAGTAACAAGTCAGAAAGAACTACAGGAAATGATAGACATTGTGGTGTTAGTAAGTGAAAGATTGGGCCTCAGTTTAAATAATGGGAAGGCAGAAGTAATGGTGGGATCAAAGAAACGAATTATTCCTAAATGTGTAATAAAAGTCGATGGTGTTATTTTAGGACAAGTACAGAAATTTAAGTATCTGGGCACATGGATAACATCACATGGAATATGCATAACTGAGATAAGAAACAGAATGGGACAGGAAAAAACTGCATTTTATAAAATGAAGAATATCTTATGCAATATATCCTTGTCATTGAGAATTATAAAAAGAATTCTTGCTTGCTACATACATCCAGTTTTAATATATCTGTGAATCCTGGACAATCGGTAGGCAGGCCAAACAATTTCTTGAGGCCTCAGAGATGTGGTTTTACAGAAGAATGCTTAGAATACCTTGGACAGCCAAAAAGAGCAACCAAGAGGTTTTGAAATTGGCGAGAGCCCAAAGACAACTTATCACAGACATCAGAAGAAGACAGTCATCATTTTTGGGGCCATGTTATGAGAAGAGGGAAAATAGAACATGTTGTGACCACTGGAAAGATCTGTGGAAGGAGGGATAGAGGAAGACAACGAGAGAAGATGCTTGACAGTCTTGTTGCATGTCATTGAGGTGTGTCGGCACACGAACTGATACATGCTGCAGGAGATCGTGGATTATGGAGAGGCCTCATCGCCCACGCCAGTCGGCAAGGCACCTGATGATGATGATGATGAAGTACTCCATACACTTATTCACACAAATACTAAGGTAAAAATGATCATGGATTTAATCTGATAATTTAGAGTATCTTAAATACTCCATACACTTATTTACACACGTACTGAGGTTATGCTGATCATGAATTTAAGTTGATTATTTAAAGATTTAAAGTACTCCATACACTCATTTACATACGTACTAAGGTAATACTGATCATGGATTTAAGCTGATAATTTTAAGTATCTAAGTACTCCATACACTTATCTATAGACGTACTGAAGTTATACTGATCATGGATTTGAGTTGATTGTTTAAAGCATTTAAAAACTCCATACACTCATTTACAGACGTACTGGGGTAATACTGATAATGGATTTAAGTTGACTGTAATTTTACACAAAGTACGCGACTGACCTCTTTTTCCTCAATCGTCTTGTTTTTCAAATACCGAGTGTAGAATTCCCAGGCCTCTTTGGAGTAGCAGTTCATGTATTGAGTGTACCCAGAACCATTTGTGTACTGTCCTGAAACTTTCGTCTCCCAGAGGCCATCTGGCCCGCAGTACCGAGAGGCATATTCTGATTTAGACAGACAAATTAAACAGTGTTTCGTCTGTCGTTTGTCTTCTATCTTTGTATTGAACAATAACTAGAGTAGACACACATATTAACGATTCTTTTCACGTGTGGGTATTTCTCACTTCAAGAATATTTGAACAGGCTAAGTTCAACATGCAGAAGATATAACACGAAAATATATACTACTAAATCTGAAGTAATACAGGTCAGTAGAATTGCTAGTCCGCTACATATCGTGTTAAATGGTACCTGTCTGAGGAATATGCATATCTAGGAAGTATATTCTCAGAGGATGGAAGAATAGATCGGAAAATAGAAACATTATGCCAACGAGCCAGTGCACTTAAATACCAACTGACACCGTTGTTAAGACAACCAAACATAAGTATGAATGCCAAGAAACAGATTATAAACAGCATATTCATACCAACACTGTGCTACCATCGCCAGACTAAGACATTATCAAAGACTTCCTACGTAAAATTAACGCATGTGAAATTAGATGCCCGAGAAAAGCCGCCAACTTAACCATCTGAGACAAAGTTAGAAATGATATAATCAGACAGACAGTAGGAACAACACCATGCAGCAAATTCATTTGGAAACAGAAGATCAAATGACTTGGTCATTAAGTAAGAATGCATTCAGAACAACTACCAGTGCAGGCGTTATACATGGAAGGATCTGACGTGAAAGTAAGAGGTCGTCCTCGGAGATATGGAATGATGACATTAAAGAGCTTCTACATCGACACCGAATGACAGTAGCTATTTCTGCATATCAAGCAATGAATCGCACTGTTCCTTCCCACAACGCCTTCCAGCAGAAGTGGAAACTGATCAGGATGATGGTGATAATATTTCTCAAGTCAAAATCATCATCATCATCATTGTAATGTGTACATAGGGCTTGCAGTCTGTTTCCCCTTTCTGTCCTATATTGTGCAATCACTTTGATATCATGGATGGAATAAAGTCTAGTACCTTTGGCTGCACTCATCAACGTTCGCTTTATGGTTTCCCTTAGACGTTCTTGTTTTCTCTATTTTTCTTAATTTAATTAGCATAGCAGCTCCCCTCTCCAACAGCTCTCACTAGGTACTAGAGTACTGTTCCAAGCCACTAGCAATTAACATTTCCAATTCAGTATAACTGGCACAAAGAAATAAACCATAATTATAACTGATACTGCTCGCACTAGGTTCATCGTGATCGATTTTTTTTTTTCATTTTTTTTTTTTATAAATGGATGAATGGAAGTTAACTTTCACCACATGCTTGTTAGGGAGCAGTTGACCTATTTCATTCCCTCAACAATGGGACTCCCGAACCAACACGGGGATAAACTAAAAGAATTGCACAGAAACATAAACTGGGAGCCCCGTGTGTTAAGTAACAGCAGAACAGGATGAACAGACAAGTCCCAGGATGTTTCCTGGCAACCATTACAGGATAGGCGGATCTGGGAGTCACGTTCAATTAAAGGAAATACTCAGTGAGAATTAGAGCATTAAAAACAGATATACTTCTATAAAGAACGATGAAGAGGAGGAGGAAGAGGAAAAGGAGAAGACAAAAGAAGAAGAAGTAAAAGAGATGTTCGTGGTGGTGGTAGGTAATGAGGAAGAAGAAGGAAAAGAAGAAGAAGAAGAAGAAGAAGAAGAAGAAGACGAAGAAGAAGAAGAAGAAGAAGAAGAAGAAGAAGAAGAAGACGAAGAAGAAGAAGAAGAAGAAGAAGAAGAAGAAGAAGAAGAAGAAGAAGAAGAAGAAGAAGAAGAAGAAGAAGAAGAAGAGAAGAAGAAGAAGAAGAAAAAAGAAGAAGAAGCAGCATCAGCAGCAACAGAAGAAGAAGAAGAAGAAGAAGAAGAAGAAGAAGAAGAAGAAGAAGAAGAAGAAGAAGAAGAAGAAGAAGAAGAAGAAGAAGAAGAAGAAGAAGAAGAAGAAGAAGAAGAAGAAGAAGAAGAAGAAGAAGAAGAAGAAGAAGAAAAAGAAGAAGAAGAAGAAGAAGAAGAAGAAGAAAAAGAAGAAGAAGAAGAAGAAGAAGAAGAAGAAGAAGAAGAAGAAGAAGAAAAGAAGAAGAAGAAGAGAAGAAGAAGAAGAAGAAGAAGAAGAAGAAGAAGAAGAAGAAGAAGAAGATGATGATGATAATGATGATGAAGAAGAAGAAGAAGAAGAAGATGATGATGATGATGATGATGATGATGGAAAAAGAAGAAGAGAAGAAGAGGAAGAAGAAGAAGAAGAAGATGATGATGATGATAATGATGATGAAGAAGAAGAAGAAGAAGAAGAAGAAGATGATGATGATGATGATGATGATGATGATGATGATGATGAAGAAGAATTGAAGAAGAAGAAGAAGAAGAAGAAGAAGAAGAAGAAGAAGAAGAAGTCGAGGAAGAAGAAGAAAAAAGAAGAACAATAAGAAAAAGAAGAAGAAAAAGAAGAAGAACAAGAACAAAAAGAACAAGAAGAACAGGAAGAAGAAGAGACGAGGGGGAAGAAGAAGATGACGAGACGACGATGATGATAATTATAAACCTAATAATAAATTACAAAAACTAGACTAAGCCGAAAGAATCTGCTAATGACACACGTCTCTACTTCCACTAATGATACCAAATGGGAGCACAATAATATTACTTTCTCTCACATGGCGATGTGCGTGGGGCGACTTATTTATTAATTGATGACATAATCATATTAACAGAAAGTGATGAGAAATTACAACATATTGTGAAATCAGTAAGTAATGAAGTGTAAAATCTAAAATAGTAATTGACATAACGGCAATTAAAATTGAAAATTAACAAAGCGTATGATAGGGAAACAGTTAATATCTACAGGGCATACAGCCGGAAAAGGGGGGGGGGGGAAGGGGGTGGGGGTGGGGGCGTGTTCAAGTACAAGTGCGTTTATTTTATCTTGAAACAGAAAAAACAAATAGAATAGAAGGGCGTATTGGTCATATAGAGCTAGATCTATATTTTATAGACACTAAACTATCAATGAAACAAGAAATAAAGAAAGGGTGGGTAGAGCAGCAACAATAACGAGCTGATTAACGAAAAGAGTTTGGGAGAAAAGAACACTTCCATTTTCATTTCAATCTCTTCTATCTGTTAAGAGCGTGTTCTCAACACCCTTGGTTGTGGCAGTTAAACTCAGTTAACGCACTTGTACCAGGCGAAAAGGGATAAACAGTTTTCAGGTGCAATGCTTAAAAATAATACTTGTCTTCAAGTGGCAAGACAAGATCACACACACTGTGGTATTGGAAGAAGCAGGTTGTAAGCCGTTTTCTTGACGCAGTCTACAAATGCTAGGGAGTGTTGCACAAAGCAAGAGTCTGGGGGCTGGTAAAATCCATAAGGACTGCCACCAGTATAAGTGAAGCACTGGTAAAGGATACCCAATCCAGTGTCACACTGATGTGTGCATAAGGGGCACGAATGGTATGTGTTTTGAGCTGCTGTCCTGAGAAATGAATTTCTTGTCTCCCATTGCAAAAAAAAAAAAAATATATATATATATAAGGTAGGGAAAAAAAGGAAAGAAAGAAGGAAAGTATAGACAGGTTCGGAGATAAGGATTTGAAAAGAAATACAGCTTATACATAAGATAAAGTAAAGGACCTTTTTTCACTCCTTCAGCTGTATTGGGTTTATAGGGCTACACCTATATTTCATAGGCCAATCGGTACTTGTAGGCGATGCCAGCCGCCTTTACTTCATACCACTGTACCTAGTACCAACTCAATGCTTGGTCGACCTCGAAGTCAAAGACACTTACTTTAAAGCTGTAAAACAGTATTTGATGGCAACAATAACCCCGAATTACACTGCACGTATCATGGAAAACAAGATACGTTTTACTGCTCGTTGCCATGGGCTATAGTTCCTTAGAATCATTATAACATCAAGTAATGCAACCATCTGGAAAGACGTAAATATGCAATCAGTCATAAACACACTGAACCATTTCCATGCCTTCAAGTGTATTGCGCTTATAGTGCTAGACTTATATTGTGTAGACCAATCGACTGGCGTAGTCAACATTACTCCCGCCGCCTTTACTTTTCAAGACTTTACCTGCAGGAGAACAGGACATAAAGCGGGATTAAGCCATTCAAGGCTTGGTCGACCTAGCAGTCAGGGTCTTTTTGTGTTTAAGAAAAAAAAAGTTTGTTCCCGTTTGGATTTGAACTCCCGATCTTCGGATTCGCAGTCTAGCGCAGCGCTTCTCAAACATTTTTCACCGGGGCGCCCTTGTCGGAAAAATACACACCTACCCTTAAAGCGATTTTAATACTATTGAAGTGAAAAGAAAACAGTGTGCATTTAATGTTTAGTTGTCTTAAATGCCATGGATAAAATTGTTTGGATGCATTCTTTATTATTTCTTTCTTGTTTATGGGAAGTTTAGTTAATTGTACTCTCAGATCAATTGAAGGTTGCTCCTGTGTGTGTTTTTAATGTAAGTGAACATCGAGAATGCACTGCAGCCTTGACAAAAGCATTGTCTTCTGAATACACCTGCATCCAAACTTTTCTTGGCTTTCTTTTGAATACACCTGAACTAAACTCTTTTTGGCTTTCTTCTGAATACACATGCATCCAAACTTTTCTTGGCTTTCTTCTGAATACACCTGCATCCAGAACTCTTCTTGGCTTTCTTTTGAATACACCTGAACTAAACTCTTTTTGGCTTTCTTCTGAATACACCTGCATCCAAACTTTTCTTGGCTTTCTTCTGAATACACCTGCATCCAGAACTCTTCTTGGCTTTCTTTTGAATACACCTGCACTAAACTCTTTTTGGCTTTCTTCTGAATACACCTGCATCCAAACTCTACTTGGCTTTCTTTATGGTATTTATGTTTTAAACTGCTGTCTTTGCTGATCTGAAGACTTTGAAAAATACGTTATTGACACGGCACCCCTGGTTTAAGGTAGGGGCACCCCTAGATGCCGCGGCACCAAATTTGAGAATTTTGCCTAATGTCTAGCCGATACGCCATGGAAACCCCCCCCCCCCCCCCCACCACCACACACACTCAAACCCGAACTCTACCAGAACACTAACATCAGTATGAGATTGTCAACGGCCACCCGAAGATAGAATCACCCACTTTCTACACTGGAAACACCTTTCGATGAGAAGACAGAATAAATTAATGACAAAATATCTTGAGCTCTGGCGTGAGACCAGAGATTGTACATATCTCATCCAGCGTATTTACTTACTTTCTGTAACCAGGCCAGGCAGAGGCGGACACGGGAGGTAAACAGTAGTGCTAGCTTTGGCAGCAGGCCAGCAAAGTACAGTGTCCCACACACCGCGGCAGTAGGATCCTGTGGAAGATAAACGTGTTGGGTGTTGATCATTTCCTTGAGGTAAATATCAGGAGAGCACGGCTGGAAATTTGTCTAATTAAAGTGTTTACATGTAGCTAGAATTTGACAGGCAGGTACACACGGTGTCAAAACAGCAGCGAAAATCACAAAGGAAAACAAATTTGTTGAAAGTCTGGCGATGTATTTAGTCATATGCATCTTCTTCTTCTTCTTCTTCTTCTTCTTCTTCTTCTTCTTCTTCTTCTTCTTCTTCTTCTTCTTCTTCTTCTTCTTCTTCTTCTTCTTCTTCTTCTTCTTCTTCTTCTTTTTTCTTCTTCTTCTTCTTCTTCTTCTTCTTCTTCTTCTTCTTCTTCTTCTTCTTCTTCTTCTTCTTCTTCTTCTTCTTCTTCTTCTTCTTCTTCTTCTTCTTCTTCTTCTTCTTCTTCTTCTCCCACCCCCCCCCCCCCACCCTCCAAATCACACTCACTACAGAAGCTGGAGTAAAAATATTACTAACTAGCCGCAGTTAGTGTAAAATTATTGATTCACAAAATGGAGTTAATGTAAAAATAATTCCTTCCCGGCTCGTTATTGTAAGTACACTTCTTTAAACAAATGGAATTAGTATAAAAATAGTCCTTTACAAAGTGAAGCTAGTTTAAAAATAGTCCTTTCCCGGCATGAGGTAGCTTTCCCGACAGGCTTAGTGTAAACATATTCCTTTCTCGACAGGGTTGTTGTAAAATATCCCTTTTCAGAAAGAAGTTGGTGTAAAAATATTCGGCTATCTTCCGAATAACGGTCCCAAATTATCGAGGCAGAAAATATACCATGACAGAGCCTCAGTCACGTGTCAATTGCGCACTTCCGGGGACTAGACCGCCACCACCGAATTGCCTACTTCCGGTGACTATACCGCCACCGTCGAGAGTATCCCATACGCCGCTCACGTGGCGTGGATTGGGGCTAAACTAGATGGCTGGGACTTACGAGCAAATTAAATGAAAGCAGCTGCAGGAGATGCAGTAGCTGCTGCTCGTGATTCCCAGCCATTTAGTTTAGCCCCAATCAATGCCTGAATTGACATGTGACTGAGGCTCTGTTAGGGTATATTTTCTGCCTCTATAATTTGAGACCGTTATTCGGAAGATAGCCAAATATTCCTTTATCAGCAAGATTTGTGTAAAAATATTCCGTTTCCGGCAGACATTAGTGTAAAATAATACCTCCCTATCAGAAGTTAGTGTAAAAATATTCCTTTCCAAGCAGCAGTCCGTCTAAAAATAATTTTTTTCCCAGTATGAGGTGGTATAAATGTTTTCCTTTATCAGCAAGAATGGGTGTAAAAATATTCCTTTCCAGTTCCTGTTTCTTGTTGTCACGTCACTAGAATGAGCCTGTCATGATCTCAGATTGTCACAAATCAGCAACGCCCGAATGCCGCGACAGTACTGCCAGGATGGCGGTCTCCATCGCAGGAAACTGGGGCAGGGGTGGGGGGGGGGGGGGTGGGGAGGGGACTTATTCCAGGCTTTATCTGGAAGGCAAGACATGTAAATCGAAGAAAGACATCATCGGGTAGAGGATGCAATTAGGATGACTTGATATAGTAGTTGGTCACTGAATATTGTGGAGGGTAGAGGTGCTCAGTGTGTATTGAAGAATAAGGCCAAAGTCCAGAGGTGAATGAACAACCAGGACTTTCGACCGGCGTTCACAGCAGGTTAATGCTGAAAAAAAAAAAACCGATTCTCTTAATGTGTACCTTTTATACATTGGTAACGGAGGAAAAAAGGCGGGGATGGGGAGAGGGAACGTGAGCTTAAGTATTTAAGGCATCAAGGCCAGGGCAGTCGCTACTAACTGTGCAGACTAGAATTCTCTTAATTTTTAACATTTTATACATTGGTAACGGAGGAAAACAGGCGGGGATGAGGAGAGGGATCATGAGCTTAAGTATTGAAGGCATCAAGGCCAGGGCTGTCGCCACAAACTGTGTGACTAAATTTTTACTTCTGTCATCGACAGAAATAATCTCAATCCCTGTACGAGGATCGAAAGCGGCGCTCTTCCGCATTGAGACCCTAACCACTTGGACAACTGCTCCTTATGGAATGAAAGCGATGAATAGAAACTGTGTTCAGGTCTCAAAAAATTAGCAGCATAGATTAGTTTAAAATAAATTGTATCTGATCTGAAATGTACCCATGTATAATATTCACTGCACCGTGGTCCAGCCTTTAAGAGAATTAAAATCGGTGGCAGTAGAGTTGATAAATAAAATAAAGGTATCTACTGACGTCTGCAGTTAAAGCGTTGCGAACAAACTTTCTAGCTCCAGGGTGCCGTGCTCAGTCCCAGCTTGTGGTTGTTTGGCAATAGAACGCACAGCCTTGACTGACTGACTGACTTTCTACTCCACCAGGACATCACACAAGCGATAAACACCCGGTGACACAAAGTGCCACCATGCGGATGAGGATCGCCGTGGAGAGGTCCCAGAAACCGCGTTCAGACATTTGGCCATATTTATGGCCTGATTATATTGCGGCCCCCGGCAAAAGCCAGGGTGGAGCTTTAAATAAAAAATTTCATCCTGAAAAAGACGATAGAGAATAGTGACGCACAGCCTTATTTCGATGGTGAAACTGACCGTTCAGTAAACAATTGCAAACCACTGAAAATAAAAAGTGAAATCACAAAAAGCCACGTCGGGTTGGTTCTGCATCGTCCGTTCTCAGAAGGACAAGAAACTAACATTTATCCCATTTTCAGTTTTTCTTCTTTTTCTTCACACATGTATAATAGGGCGCATTGTCTGACTGTCTTTTCTTATTCCCATTATAAGGCCCGGTAACAAACGAGAACCGCTTTCAAATACAAGCCAATCACTCAGACAGTCAATTATTAAATCATTTAAAGAACTAGAAATACTGCAATGGTTTTTATCTCTAATATGAAAAGATTAAAACGTATAAACGTTCACACAACACAACCAGCTGTTTTCTGTCTGGAGAGATTATTTGATTTATTTCAATAGCAACAAGAATACAAAAGTGCTCTGTTAGTTTATGAACTTAACAGTACAAGGCCTAAATAGTATTCCATTAAGTTTAATAAATCGTTTGTGTGTGTGTGTGTGTGTGTGTGTGTGTGTTTTTTTTTTTTTTTTTTTTTTTTTTGGTTGTTGTTTACAAGTTAAGATACGTTGATGTCAAATTTAATTTCATTAAAAGGAAATATCAATTATTCGTTAACCTTAGTCTGTAACTTATTGCATATTTTAATAAACATTTATATTTATCTATGCCAAAAAAAAAAAAAAAAAAAAAACAATGCTTGCTAAATTTACAATGTTTGTTCACTTTTTGTGTATGGCGAATGCTACTTAGTACCATGGTAATAAATTTCACTGTTTTTCAAGCGCTTCGTTAATTCTAAGTTAAATGAGTTGAGTCAAAAATTGACATCACAGCACTCGGGGCATTCCCAAGTGTGCTCCGTCCTCATCTTCAACAGCCAGCGCAGAATTCCAATACTGATGGTACCGGTCACAATCTGGTTCTATGTCCTTCTTGCCTTTCCTTTGAGTGTAGTAAGCCGGCCAGACGCTCTGGTTACACCCAGGTGCCTCCTTCTCTCCAGGCCATAATAATCTTGCTTCTCTACTAATTATGGTGTTTGTTACCAAAGGGCCTTGACCACATCTGCCTTGTCCTTTATCAATTTACCACCTAGTGGTGCAGATCCAACCAATCTGTCTACCTATTTATTACCCACTACGCCGACATATCCTGGAGATAATATCCAACGTATGCTCACTACCCGTGACGTTCCCAGTAAAATTTGCCACTCTGCTCGAAGCATCCCTGTCTTCACCTTTCTCAGCATGCTTTCAGAATCAGTTACAATTTCGACATGTAAGTGCATCTTGTTCTCTAGCCACCAGAGAGCTGCATTTACCGCCTCCACCTCCATTCTCATGTTAGATGTTGCGATGTCGTATGCTGGGTCGTCTTGCACTAAAGATTTTCCATTAGCTTTCGCTACGAACCCCCAGACACTTCTCTTTCCTCTCAACACTAAACCATATGTATAGACAATCAGATCACCTGGGTGTGAATTTTCGCGAATCAACTGTTGGAATTCCACCTCCGTAGCACCTGCAGGTCACTCTCTGCACTCCCGGCCCAACGTGATCATAATCCTACAGGTCAGACTTTCCCTCTGGTACTCTGCCCCATTCCTCTCCTCGCCCAATGTTCTCCAGCATGAACATTATTCATGTCTTATTGTGTCTTCTGCTTGAACCATCCACGATTGCCCCCTTTTCAGCCTCTGACCCTTACCTGCAACCAAAGCTTCATACAGAGGTATGACTTAGCCTGCAGCATATTTAGCCTATCTGCAATAGTCGGCAATGCAAGGATGTATCGTATGCACACAATCGGGGTGTCTCTTGCACATTCCAGGATCACCTGCATAGCTTCATTCTGTATGCGCTCCATTTTTTCTAGCTGACCATTCTAGACAGTGAGTAACCCCAATCCATAATCAATAACTGAGATGATTATGTGCTGGTAAAGTGTGAACAGCATTCTCTGCACCATGTCTGTCGCTGCCATAATCTTTAATGCTTTAGGACCTTTTTTTTAGCCTTTGTCACAACCCCTCTATGTAATCCTTGAAAGACAAACTTCTGTCAAAAGTGATACCCAGGTACCGCAGTCTGCTGTCTCTTTTAATGTCCCTGCCATTTATTTTGAGTCTAGGAACATCAGCTCTAACAATCCTGTTGTACGAATAACACCACAGGACGGTTGCTTTTTTTGGGTTAAGAACAAAAGAAGAACGAACAAACGAAAACACGAACAAACAAAACTACGAACAAATGAAAGAACGAACTGCTCGTCTAACATTCTGCCCTGTTTAAATCCTTGCATATAGATGTTCAATTCTTACATCATTTCACAGGTAATAATAAACAATATCAACAACATTTATGTCTAAATACAATC